CTGTAAATTTCATTTGTGTCAAATTAGTTCTACTTGATTTACTGTTTGCCTTTTTGTACCTAGATTGTTTCATATTGGTACCTTAATGTCTGTAACCTAATGTCAATAAATACATCTGAATGTTTGTTAGGAAAATATTTAATTTTTCACAGCTTAATCCATGCTAAAATGTACTTAAGTTGGTATTTAACATTTAAACATGCATTATGCAAGAGCAAAATCTGCTTATTACAAGTCTTTCTTTAGGCCTGAAATGTTATCTAAATTATCAATTAGACATTAATTAACTTATCCAGACCATAATAAACTCTCGATGTCAAGGCTAGCCTTCGATGTTGGCTGGATTAGATTCCTATATGCCGCTAACGGCCAGTGATAATTAAATCATTAAAAAGTGGATAATCGAGACTATTCTGTTTATATTAATGATTTTAGTAATGATGACCAAGACTATGCAAAAATTTCACCCGCTTCTTTCTCGGCTCATAGTGGATCAATTTGACTGAAATTTTCAGCAAATTACCTTTACACTATTATAATGAGAACTGTCATCTCTTCATCTTATCTCCCATAATGTATCTTTAATTAAGAAAACAAAACCCAAATATCACTGGTAGATAATCTCCTGGCTTCGATTCACTAGGATTAAAAAGAGGCCCAGCAGATCATACTGGCTTGTTTAAACCATCTGCAGATGATGCCAAATGCTGTTTATTGAACCGATATTCCATTTACAGACTCAACAATTCAAAATCCCTCAAATAAAATGATTGGCTTTAAAACCTTTAGTACTTAAAAGACTTCCCGAAAACACCCTAAATATAACTCCATAGACAGTCCCATACAGAACGGTCACGTGCATAGTGGTGGTATACCCACCACAAATTAGTAAAGTGTCCTATAATACGGAAAGCCATTCACATATCTCGGGCAGTTTGAGGACAGTTTACGTAATAGCAACATTTAGAACACAAATGTGATGTTGTCATCCTTTGATACTGGCCCTGTGCCAATCGTACATTATTTATACGAGATGTCGGAAAATATAGGACTTGCATGTTGTTTTCATAGATTGTGTATCTGTATTTTAAGTTGCTTAAAGGTCTCCAGGAAGACATTGCGTAATTTATTGACACAACACTCGGGTTCACGCCCTCATAGAGTATCAATATATTTTCTTAATGTCTCAATCTCGACCTTTAAACCACATACAATACATGTACTGTATGTTTAATGTACAATGGTGGGAAAGGAGAAAGGGGGGACATAACTGATCTTATATCAATAATGCAAAAAATACATATATGAATGTTTATTGTAATTTTATACTGAAATCATATTCAAATTCAGGTAACTGCAATCAATATGGTTTTGTTGTGTTTTACAATTGCCATGGTACCCTTGAAAACAGATAATATCAATATTTGTATTTCTCTATGTTATAAATAACCAATCTGTTGATATTAAATAACATAATACCTTAACACTAGTTTCAGATTAAATGTTTCTTATCTTTTATTGCAAATTTCCTTAAAACTTTGTTATATCTGGGGTAAGTAATGAAATGAGGTTTAAAACCTCTCAAAAATGAAATGAAATGAGGTTTAACACCTTTCATTAACTAAATGAAATGAAATGACACCTTTCCGTAATGAAATGAAAAGGGGTTTAACGCCTTTCAGTAATGAAATGAAATGGGGTTTAACACCTTTCAGCAATGAAATGAATAGGGTTTAACACCTTTCAGAACCTTTCAAAAATGAAGTGAAATGAAATAGGCATTTAACACCTTTGGGTAATGGGCTTAACTATCAGTAAAAGAAATGTAACTTCCTAGTTACATGCAGCATTACCTACGAGAATTACAATACAAGTGATTCTATATTATGTTAAATCTATTGGTAGTCTTGGAGTTGAGTGTATACAAAATAAACATCCAGGCCATTGGGTATAACAGTCATGTTATATTTAAAATCTTCTATTCAACAAGAAAAAGTGACTCAACAAGTCATGCATAAGTAGTTACATGTATGTTTTATGCAAGTTTGTTTAGAAGATATTGTCTGACAGATTCTATGAGTTTATTACACCAATGTAACAATGTAAATTAGTAATTTATTGCAAATTTTCAAATAATTTATTTCATTTGTTTGTTACCGAACCTGGAAATCACATGTAAAAGATTATGCCTGCTACAAATGTTATCTGGCATCCATCATTTTGTCCATCACATATTTATTTTTTTATTAGTATTTATGATGCTATTTACAATACATGTCCAGAACCAAGTTTAATATGTCAGTTAATTATAGTTTGCCAGGTACATTTAAAATCTTCATTTCAAGGCATGTCTGTCATAATAATCAAATATCAGGGACCCACTCAAAACACACATAACATGTTTTTCAATTAAATATTTGATATAATAGTCGATAAGACTCATGTTAAATACACATACAGAATGTTATAATTTATGAAGGGTAATCAATAATAAAAAGTCCATAAAATAAACAGAGAGAGAGAGAGAAATGGGGTTTAACGTCCACTCGACACAAACTAGGTCATTTCGGGACTAACATATGGTTTAATTTTATTTACATAATTCGCTTGCGCGTAGGGGTCTTTAGCAGTGGGAGGAAACCGGAGAACCCGGAGAAAACCCACGCGGTTGGACAGGCGACCCTACTCCTTGTCACGTACAACCGGTGATTCGAAACCACGCCAGTCGACTCAATGACAGACTTTATGATACAGCGCGCGCACTCTAACCATTCAGCCACCCAACCCCCCTAAAATAAACAGCCTAAATCAAGATATCATTAAGTGGACTTCTAATCACATGTCCAGAGAAAAGCAATCTGATTAAAATATAGATCTATATTTCGTTTCGTTATTTTATACGTTCGATGGCCTACACTACATGAAGATCTGACAAGTTGTAGCAATAGGTCGCGTCAGAGGTCATACGAGTGGCTTTTGACCCTATGATGTCAGACTTTAGATTAACCAATCAGCTTTCATGTTTCTAATGGATTACCCACAGTTTCAGGCATAACATGCCTGCAGCTCGCCGTAACAGACCGTTTCATTGGCTAATCCCTAACACCATTCAGAACACGTCAATGATAACAACTCTTCTAGATCCTATTGTAGTAAAGACAAGTGAAACAAAATTTTGAACTATAAAAAACGAAACGAAATAGGATCCGTGTTTTAATCAGATTGAGAGAAAAGAGTAAGCCCTTTGTGCAGCACCCTCCACTTGAACTGCAATACTCTCCACGTAAACAGGTATTTTAACATATGTAATCTTGTACTAAAGACCAGCAAAGTTTTCTAAGGAAAAAATAGTTGACACAGTGCCAATAACCAAACTGTTCACACATTCCTATTCAGAAAAATACATTTCAAGGCTCATTTACATCTACTCCAATCACTTTCCTTAATACTAATCTTAAATCCATTAACAATTATCTTAATTTATCTCAAAGTGTACAAATGTTATATTGTGAGTTTGTAACTATAGTAAATATATGATATGTATTGTGATATGTGTGTCATGATATGTTCAGGTCAAATATTTAACAACGTACTAAATACCGGTAGATTTATTTTCTCAAACACAAAGAACCTAAAATCAATAAAATGCTGAAAATTACAGTTTTATAAGGAAGAAATAAGATTTTGCTCTTAAAAAGCTATTGTCATTACAACTCCAACAGTTGTGTAAAAGATGCATTGATATGCTAAGTTGACACCTTCAGGCTGAGAACATGCCATTCCAATAATTCAAGAGGGTATTGATACTAAAGATGTTGCCCGATAATTTGGATGTCATCACAATACCATCCTCAGACTGACTGATCGGCACATTATTCAGCAACATCAGGAGGATCCCACACTGCCACCCAACAATGCTGCTAAAGTGAAAGGTGCACATGGGTTCATCAGTGCCAATACAGTTTTGACTTTCGATTTTTACCCCTTGTGCCTACCTTTCATTTTAGAGTTGTTATGGCCTGCATGGGTTGTAGTTGTTGACTTTTTTTGTGTCAGTAGCACATGCAGCATGTAAATCAGTTTAAAATTGTTCTGTTCTGTGAGAACTATTGTGTTTAATATACCACATCAATAGCTACCAAGTTGATATTAATTACCATGTCCTGTTCATCTACAGCCCTGCTAATTATGTCAGTATTTTGGCAGATGTAAAATTTTGTTTAGAATAAGAGAAACTGTGATATTAATTTATATGTATTGTATAAAGTCTCTTGTAAGTTTGACTAAATCCATGATTAGCATTCAATGAATCGATTAATTACTATATTACCTAATAACGATTACACCGATAGCATGTTGATATAAGACACATGTCTATACTGAAATTGATTGCCCGATTCTGGTATCAGGCTGATTATCCCACAGATCTTAATAAAAACAAATATTGAACTATTAAACAATTATTCTATCACATCTATATCAATATTGATCATAGCAGCAGAGGAATACTGTGATAATAACATTAATAAAATATAAGCGCAAAGGAAACAAGCTATAAATTGCATCCTTAGTAACATTTATTCAGTAAATTATGTCAAATCCATGAAGGTTGGCTAATTATTATACCGTTGAAAGTTAATTAATTATTAGCACACTACTTCACTTAGTTATGCATTGTTATTCTCTATGGCTACATGAGCACAGCTTTACAGTTCTACACTGTCAGAATTACGCTACTTTGTTAAAATTAGAATTGCAAAACATTCGAATCAATTGACTACATACAACTTTTACGACAATTTTTATCGGGTTTAAAACTTCCTGATGGTTCTACTTGGCCCATGCTGGGATCCAAATCTTGGATATTCTGGTCGAGAAGCAAGTTCCCTACCCCTCGACTATGGTGACCCCTCTGTTGTCAATCTAACTTAAGGTAAAAACGTTGGATCAACTGCACCACCAACAACAGTTGTTTATTGATTGTTAAATATGACACTTACCTAACCAGTTTCTGTCTAAGTAAATAGCAACAAAAGATGGTGGTATGGTGAAATAATCCACAAATGAGAACAACTCTAACCAAAACCATAATTTATCGTTCGCAGCTACAAACTGAAAAAGAAAATAGTTTTCTTAAATATAATAACAAAATTTATTATTCTATGCATATAATCTACTGTGTTAAAGGTGATGGCCCAACTATTTATATACTCTAACAGATAGATAATATTCTCACTGGAATATAGAAAAAGATGGATCATCTTCTTTAATGTGCTTGATGGATGACTGTTAACAATTGTTCCAAGTTTACTTTATATAAAGTTAGCTATGCCTTCCGAAATCCCAACTATATCACACCAATATATATGATGCCATTATATCCAGTGTCGTACATAGAACATGATATGCTCACTATTTCTGGAACACCTGATACCAATTTTTAAGTTTTAAACCTAGATCTAGAAGGTTTATTATATATAAGACAGCTTTAGAAAATGTAATTCTGTATAATTAAACATCATTAAAGATATCAATTGAATCTTGAGTAGTTGGCCATAGGAGCATTCCCGATCAATGAACCAGAATTTTGTTTTCCTGTCAAATTGATGTGTTGGGTTAAGTTAGTTTAGTATCAGACAGCCCAATATTATCTTCTGTGTTAAACCGTCACTTTATGATCAAGTCCTTATTCCGACCTTGACGAAAATGTAAATATACTATTGAAGTGGGTTTTTTTTGTTTTAGTAAAAAAAAAATGAAAGATAAATATTTGCATTCATTAGACAAAGGAAATGCTCTTGCTATGACATTGTATCTAACAGTTCTTAAATACTATTTTATCAATCAATAACATTCACTGTAAGCTTATTAACATATACTTTATACAATATTTTTACAATCAGGTTGTCCTGGTTCATGTCAAATGTTACTATCGAATGTAAAAGCTACCTTAATTTTAAAAAAACTAGTTTAACATGGGTTTGGAGACAAATGTTATATATGTTATATACCATAACCTTTTTTAATAAATAGAAACTGTAATGAATGGGGTTTAATGTCCACTGGTTTTGGGACTAAACTGAGATAAATATGATTATGATGCTGCCCACAGGTTTGTTAATTATGCACACATATCTACTTGAAACAATCAATTTCCTCATAATGTCATAAAATGAGCAATTTTAAGTTGCCCTGTTCAGATGGCCATGATAAGCCAGAATGGGAAATAAACACTTCTTGAAGACAGGTATATGATACTAGTGAATGATTGCTGGGATATTAAAGCTTAACTCAAGCGTCTAACCCAAAACAGCATATTTTATTTTACAGACAAAAGCGGCAATACTATATACCGGAAAATACCGGAAAACAACTGGAAAACTACCGGAAAAATGAAATGAAATGAAATGGAGTTTAACGTCCTACTGTTCTGCTCCTAACCTGGGCTAATGAAGACGGGCATACGCCATACAGTGTGCTATGAGGGAAATTTTGCCTGGACAGCGGCACTACGGCCTACTCTTATATCGAATTCCAACTGCCAAGGGATCTTTTACGTTCACGCCAATGTGTACACGGGACCTCGTTTTTTCGTACCATCCGAACGACTAGACAGCTTTCCTTGTCAGCCCCTCCGTCCTGCTTCACTGACAAGATAGAACCATGCCTGAAAATCTGGATGAACTTTCTCGGCCAATGCAGGGATCGAACACCTGACCTCCAGGCTAGCGAGCTAGTGTCTTACCCACTTAGCCACGTGATCCCCAAACTACCGGAAAACACCATGTTATACTGAATACCGCAAAACACCGGAAAAACACCAAATACCGGAAAACACACTTAATACCGGAAAACACCCTAAATAGGTAACCCGGAGCCTGGTCCTCTGTGTGCGGGGGGTTGGTGTTAGGGTTAGGTTTTTCCGGTGTTTTCCAGAGGACCAGGCTAGGGTTAGGGTTAGGTTTTTCCGGTGTTTTCCAGAGGGCCAGGCTCTGGGTTACCTATTCAGGGTGTTTTCTGGTATTTAGTGTGTTTTCCGGTATTCAGTATAACATGGTGTTTTCCGGTAGTTTTCCAGTTGTTTTCCGGTATATAGTATAGCCCAGAAAAAAGTCTCTCTTCGATACAATAATCTCTTTTATAGACAATATAGATTTAAAATGGGGATGTAGACTGAGTTGATAATACAGGTTGCCATTGTATACTGTATGCATTTTCAAATTTCAACTTTTAAGATCAGTGTTCAACAATTATTTAGATAAACAATTTTTCTTAGATCAGACCCAAAAATCAGGTCACACAATATTCTCAGTAGGGAACTCAGCAAGATTCTTATCTCCAGTTAAAAACTAATTATAATTTTAACACAGATATGCATATACATGTATAGGGCATTGGTGAGCTTATTTTCGTGATAAAATTAGACTCTCTGGCTTCTTCATTATTTATACCGTAATAGAGACATAGACCGTAGAATGAAGGATTGTCTTTTTCCTGTACTTTTTACATGTAACAATATGTTTTCGATGAAGCGATAAAAGCCTTTATATTTATATGCACAATGCTATCTCTATTTATACATTGTTTAATAACAGGCACACAAAGTGTTAATATGTAGAACATGTGGCACTTCACAATATAGTCCATAAATTACATAAATATCTTTTAATTTCTGCCATAGAGAACAAATTCTTTCATCCACTAAATGCCAATCAAAAAAAAAAAAATATGCCTTGTTCCAAATAAAATGCCATGGTTAAAAATATCCCTTTCATGCTTATATTATACAAGAGAAGTGGTGGATGGATGGTGATTGTTAAGATTCCAAATAAGACCATTGCTCCGTTTCATATTCCGACTGTGTACTCCACTTTATCTTGGTCTAAAGACACTTATTTATAAGGTCATTCAGTAAGGTGATTGGTAGAGCTTGAATCATTCTACCAATCAACACCCTGGAATGCTTTGATTATCCAGATAGTTAAAGAAATATACAAATACATGATATGATATCCAGGTTCATCATGTATGTTTGTGTTATATTTCAATATACATATAAATATACTAAATCAAGATAAACATGTAGCTTATCTTAAACTATAAATAAATAAAATAAAAAATATGATTGAAACTAACAGAGAATTGACATTACACTACATTCACTCTGAAGATTTCAGGCTGTGTCAATCAAGCAAATTGGGAATTGTTATTGAAATTTTGAGAGTAGGATGTTAAACCCCATTTCATTTGATTTCAGATTTTGAGTCTTAGATGTGAATACTGAATAGGTTGACTATAGATACAGTAAATGGATTCTAAAGAAAAAATACTTCCAAGGTGTTAATTTCACATTCACAGGCTATTCAGTGCACTACCTCTGACAAGTTAGGAACAGAGCTTTAAAAATCTGAAGGTTCTTCTTGACCTATGCTGGGATTCAAACCCGGCACATTTTTACTGTTTGACGAAATGAGGGCATGGTCTGTGTTATAACATTCAACCACATGCAGTACAACTCGAATATACTATAAGCCATGATCCATATCTACATCTGTTCAAACAGAAAAAGAAATCGTGCAGAAATGATTTGTGTATTTAGCAAATTCTTGTTAAAACGCCCAGTTTTATCTTATTATTCTGCCTGAAAGTAAATCTGATTTGTGAAATGATTTAAAAAAGAATCTAAACATTGCACGCATCTATATCAACGTTAAGGTTCATGACTATTAAACCTAAAATTAAAACGAGTTATTCAGGTGTGTAAAGAAACAAGAAGCCAGTGGAATCAGCACTCAATAACTATACAGAACTATTCCAAGCTGCCAATAAATATTGGCACCAGAAAACTATGCCATTGTGTTGACTTAATTCTCTTCTTACACAATTTACACTGTTCTTGTATATATGATGTAGATAGAGATAAACTACATACTTATAAAGGGATGTACACTGATTTGTATTAGGAAGACTGTTCATTTTTAAATCTTTTTAAAAGAGCAATAAAATAAAATGGGGTTTAATGTCATACTGTTTTGCTTTGACTGGGCTAATGAAGATGGGTATATACGCCATACAGTGTTCTATGAGGGACAGCAGCGCTAGGGTGTACCTTTATTTCGAATTCCAACTGTCAAGGGTTCTTTTACCTTCACGCCAATGCATACGCGGGTGAACTTTCTCAGGCAATGCAGGGATCGAACACAAGATCTCAGGTTAGTGAGCAAAAGACTTACTCACTGAGCCACTGTGGCCCCCTTTTTTAAAAGAGGCAAAGCATGTAGGTGATGAATAATCTACCATACATAGTATAAATTTTACATTTTAATTAACCAATCACTTTAAGAAATGAATTGAAATTGGGTTTAACATCCTACTGCTCTGCACCAACAGTGTGCTGTGAGGGAAATTTTGCCCAGACAGTGGCACTATGACCTACTCATATTTCAAATTTCAACTGTCTTTAACATACATGGCATTACATGCCAATCCGAATTACTAGACATTAACACCAGAAAATCTGTGCATACTTTTGTCTTTATAATAAAATGTTTGAAATTGAAATAACAGTAGACTGAGCATTGCTGTCAGAGCAAGACTTTGCTTATACCACACTGCATGATGTATTCCTGTTTTCATAAAACTATTTCGTTTTATTTCCACTTATCGCATAATAAAAACTTGCCATTGAGCTATTGACACCTGATGCAAAGAGAATCATGACAAATTGCATTTTTATATATGTATCTATATTTCCTAATTCACAAAAAAATAATGACAGCTCTTTAGTGATTCAAATTTGTAGATTGAGTGTGCTGTAGACGCCATTAAAGCTTAACATCTGCAAACTCCATTTTTGTGTCTATTTTGAAATAAAGCTGGCATCACATTCAGTAAATGTGTTGAACAGATAAATAAAATATGGTCTATAAAAAATGTGTTGTATTTATTCTCACTAATTATTGTTAAGTGAACTATAAGGTCTTCTTCGATTTTAGAAAAGATTATAAATGTTATTTACCCGTATAAAGAAGTATATCATGAAGAAGACATTAAAAGCCAGATCAACTTGTTGTGTTGTACTTGTAGACCATGGATGACATGTTTCAACAGCTTCATTTTGACTGAAAATATAAACAAGATAACCATATATAAATATAAACAAGATTATCATATATAAATATAAACAAAATTGTCATATATAAATATAGACAAGATAATCATATATAAATATAGACAGGATTATCATATATAAATATAAACAAGATAATCATATACATGTATAAATATAGACAAGATAATCATATATAAATGAGGGCAATGAATGAAATGGATCTTTATGTCTTAAGTTAAGACTCTTAACCATCTTAACCAATCTAGCTAATGAGGGCGGGAATTTGATATGAACTTTGTTATGAGCGAGGATATTTGGATTTCCATCTGTTACGGGATCTTTAACATGCTTCCATCAATAATTTGAGTCATTCGAACAACTAGACATTTTTCCTTACAAGACTATCTTGTCCTGCACCTCTAGGACAGGTAGAAATCTGACTAAAACAATCCTGTGAAACTTCCATGGTCAACACTGGGACCTATTGGTTAGTTAGCCTGCACCATATACACAGGGCCAGTGGTTCCATATCAACGAGGAAAAACAAATTATTAAGAAGACACAACTTTTGTTCTAGTTTTGAAAGCAAATGTATGTAAATATACAAGTATTACATGAGTATCTCTTTAAAAAGACACAAAGCTCTAGATTCTCTTTAGGATGATGAAATATCAAATGAATTTCAAATGTATTTGAGCCAAAATGGATTTCATATTAACACATGACACAATTATATGGAATACAAGTTACTTAGAAATTTACTTCTGGTGAAGTTTTGATTAGGGTTCTCTCATCTTTATCAAGCAAGAATTTTGTATGACCAAGAAACAAGCCATTTTATATGAAAGTGCCTACAGATAAATATTTTGTAACTATTATGCATTTAAAATAAAACAAGTACAATCATTGGTTTGTTTATAATGAAATTCTACATAAACATCACTCAAGAATTATATGATGTATTTGACCCTGTACTTAATCAACTCTCTACATGAATTCTGCATCATGAAGTATACTTTGCTTCTTGCACACACATAGGTATACAAATTGCAAAGCTTTTTGAGATTCTCCTCTTCTTTTGTTAAATTTACTGCTATCTATAGAGTTTTTGTTAAATTTACCGGTATTGCTTTCAACAAAACATTCATTAAATTCTAGATTGTTATATGTCAAGCAAACAACTACATGTATTTTCCCAATCGTTACAATGTTGCTGGGGTTTTGCAATAGCATCAATACTGTTATACCTATAAATGGGTAAAACCCATCATAATTAGATATATCATCCCTTTAATTTTGCAAATCCCTCTCCCCGTCAAATAATGCCTTCAAATCACAAAGCCCCATTCAGTTATCACTATGCAAATTTCATCAAATTCTTTTCTCCTTAAGTTTTTATGAACAATAATTCTTAAGTATTCAATTAGACTTTTAAACAGCAACATAGATGATCAACAGACAGATATATGACAGGAATAAAAAAATCTACAAAGTATTAAGTCACTTTGTCACAGTTAAAGACACCTCCTAGTCCTGGATCTAATGATTTAAATATATTTTATTAGTTAAAACTGAACTTTATGTGTAGTTGGATTTTAGGAGCACTATCAACTGAATTACCATGGCGGTACAGATGTATATAAGATTCAAATTTGTAACATGCTATCGTCTAATTTCTAACTTCTATTCATGTAATTTTTAACTTCTATTCATGTAATTTCTAAATTAAGACAATGTATAATCCAACTTATTTAGACAAAAAACGTCTTCTTCATTGACGCTTTACACGTTTAGCATGAACATCGAACAAGTTATCTAGAAATTAGACCAGTGATTATCAACCTGTGTGCCGCGGAATTTTGAACGGCACACTTATAAAATGCATAAAAACACATGATCCCAATTGATTATTCACTGGTGTCTACTGATAAGTTCATAGCTGTGTTTTTCTTTATTTAGTTTGAGTCATTCTATATGTTTATTACTAGTCTCTGTCGACGGTCGTATGCCGTCTTGAATTGCCATGTTTCTATTTTGCAAAATTTAAATATTTTTCATATATATTTAGTCAGGTGTGCTGATATTTTTATGTGTTCCAAGGTGTGCCGTTGGCAAAAAAAGGTTGAGAACCACTGAATTAGACGACAGCATGTTAGAGTTTTGAATCAAATATACCGCCATAAATAACATCTTCATTATCTGTCTTTAGTACTTTTTTTATAATACTTTTCGTTTCAAATTCTATTAACAATAAGGGTTATTGAATTACACATATACATCTGCTTATTTAGAAATTATTAATCGAATTTGCTTACATATTGATCAAATGGAAAAAACTACATGTAAACGTTTTATCAGATCTGGTAAAATTATTAAACGTTGAATCACTGGTTAAAAAAGGCATTAATTTCAATATGGTTGTAATTATTTCTAGTCTGTATTTTAAATGAGATTTATGACAGAATTGATTTTATCTAAATTAGCATTTAGAATTTATATTTATGATTAAATAATCCTTAAATGCCTTGTATTTGTTTTATATACAGATTTTTCACAAGGTTTATTTAGGTCTATGATAGCACAGAGCAGAGTATTACAGGTACAGCACTTGGTATATGAGATTATGAGACAGTCGACAGGTTTTAACCATCAATGAATACCTTAATGACGTACTCACCCAAGGACATAAATTAGTAACACCTTTAAAAATGATGGAAGGGACAGCCAAGTGTTTTAGAAATGGACGTACAAAGATGATACACTTTAGGTTAGGGTAAGCCTAATTAGCAAGAGTGTGACTTGAGTGGTGTACAACGTATCTCAGTTGCACAAAATTCCATTGAATCCTGGAAATTTTACAAGTGATTCTAATTATGGTTTTGCTTAATTAGATGTTTTAAATATACATTTAGTTGTTCATTAAATTGTAACTTCTGCTTGGTAGGGCAAAAACTGAAAGTAGAATATGCGAGTTTTAGAAATTCTGAATTTGCAAATAAGTGGAGGTTTAAGATGAGATACATGTATGTCAAACTATAAATAATATTATGGAAGAGTATTGTTTTTTTCATTGATTTAGGAGATATTATTCATTATGCAATTACTGTCATACATGCAGTATTGTAAACGTGTCTGTCATTAAAAAGATGACAAAGACTTCTTTTTGTAGGTCTCTCCATTTCTTCAAAATGGTTGCCATAGCAACAAGGTTTTGCACACTTTTATTCATAATAGAAATGAGATTGCTAATAGGATTTATCTAATCTTATCTTATAAGAACTTGTTATAAACTTCTTAAAATAATTGTATCATTTTTACTGTATTCAATTAACAGAATTCAAGATAAATATATTTGCCATGGTAACAAATCTCTTCCCATTCTGTCAGATCCCGGTAAAATCTTATTTTATAATTATGACAATAAAATGATTGCTGATTTTACTTTAAAAGTTAGCATATAAAGGGGAATCATTTCTGAAAATCAGAATTGTTGCTATCAATTTGGAAGATTATATAAAGGAGAAGGACAAAAATAAATGGAGATTATAAACATATGTTACAAAATATCTTTATACTTCTTCAATTTCTTACAGCCCACTATACAGTATGTACTTTTCAGGAAGGAAGGAAAGGGTGTGTTTCTCTATAACAGGAGATCTGACAAAACGAGAGACATGGACTACATGCTTAAATCTAAATCCTGTGTTCAAAGTTCTTTATTGGCATGCGACATACAATATACATGCACATTTATTAAGATATTAAAGTCACTGTGCGTCATGTTAGCGCCATAGAAATCACTTTCCAACTACAATATTGTGAAAGATGAATTTCTAACATGAATAACAGTCCAAAAATTGTTGAATTCCATTCGGCCACAGACCACGAATGATTTCCCCATTGACTTTAATGCTAATTCTTGTCTCTTAGACCGGCTCTAACTTTTCCCCAAATTTTCGTTTGGTAGAACGCTTTCTACCACAGATGGAGCAACATGTGGCAAGCTCTTGCTCAAAAGCATGTATAAGGTTCATCATACATCTTTCCGCCCTACATTTCAACCAAACCAACCTCTTAGCTCTTGCATTCTTCCATCTCAAAATCATGAATATTCACAAAAACCTGGCAGAAAATGTATATTCAAACACTTTTCTTCGCTTCTACACCAAAAAGTCAACCAAGGTCGCCATGCAAAAGGGGGAAAAAAGGAAAGGGAGAGAAAGACTAAAAATAACTTTGGACCTTGTTTCGCGGGTTACCAGTGTAGGAATAATTGGTGACTTGTGTTCATTCAGTATTTACAAAGATATTTGGAATTGAAATTTCAACAATCTGTGCTGGGTTTCATATATAATAAGGCCCATCAACATTTAGTTATTGGTAGGCCTGTTTTAAATCCAACACAATCCAAGCCGGGACATTTTCTAGCGTAGGTATTGTGATTTTGTTTTCTTAATTAGATTTTAAATCATCAATCTGAGTATATATTAGCGTGGATCAAGGCATGAGAAATTTTTTATTTTAGTGAAAAATACAAATGACACATCATTACTTCAAGATGTTAATTTTAAGAAAAAGACAATTCAAAACTAAAATTACTGTTTATCAAACGAAGTCCTAATGAGATTTATAACCTTGATTTACATATAGCCATTAAAATATTCTTTATAAAACCGTTATTATGCAAAAGTTGGTAGTAAAAAGTTGACATACTCTCTCATATATCAAGTTTTCTTTGATATTAGAGCAATACCGTCTGTTACCTATTGAATAATTTACTAAGTGTAAGAATTTTTTTTAACAGCTATATATATATATATATATATATACCAAACCTAGACCTTAATCCTTTTTCACACTGAGTGGTGGACAGATTTTCATATCTTGCCTGAGAAGTCATGAAAATGTATTATGTACGTTGATCAGTATGTTGCACACCTCCTGCATTTACCTAAATTATAATATATTGTATCTATGTATCACAGAACTTTAAAAAAAAACAATTCTGTA